ATGGTGAAACCCCGGCTCTACTAAAAATACAAAAAATTAGCCGGGCATGGTGGTGCGCGCCTGTAATCCCAGCTACTCGGGAGGTTGAGGCAGGTGAATTGCTTGAACCCAGGAGGCGGAGGTTGCGGTGAGCCGAGATCGCGCCACTGCACTCCAGCCTGGGCGACAGAGCGAGGCTCCGTTTCAAAAAAAATAAAATAATAAAATTGAATAACAAAACAAAAAACTGTAAAGAGCCTCTCAGTGCCACCAGGGCCACGCAGGGTGAGAGGTCTCCGCCTCCCCTGGGAAGCAGAACCCACACTCCCCACAGTTGCGCGAGCTCTGGCTGCGATTCTCGTTGATGACAGGTGGGACTTGTAGACAAGCTGGATAGGTGGGGCCGTTGGGACAGGTGGGACTTGTAGGCAAGCTGGATAGGGCTCCACCTATCCAGGTTGTTTGCCAGTCCCACCTGTCATCAATGATTCGTCGGAAGCCAATAGGCGCCCCAGACATTCTCATATTTTATTGGCTAACGCTGCTGTCTGTCTTCGGATGGCGACCACTGGGAAATGTAGTTCCAGCCGACACGGAGTTTTTCTGGGGGTCAGCTTTCCGCTTCCGGTGCTCAGCAGCTGTCCTAATACCCGGGCTTGGGCTCGGGCTTTTAGTGTCGTCTGGAAACGTTGCGTAGCTGTGGACAGTATGTCGTGGGGCCGAGCCGTCCGTTTTCTCAGGGCTTCGGCGGGCGGGAGCAGTTCTCACCTCGGGCCTGGGCCGTGAGCCGGGGTCCAGACGCCTCGGGCCCTGGCCCCCAATCCCCGCGATACGACTCAGCCAGGATATGATCCTCGTGATGGTGGCGCCCTGCTCCCCGATGCTCCCTGGGCCTGGAAGGACGACCCCGGCCCTGTAGCCGCCGAGGCTCCCCTGGCCGCAAGGCCCCCTCTGCCCCATAAAGTTTCCAGAGAAGGTCGTCTGCGGAGCAGAGTAGCCTTCTAGTGTAAGTCACCCAGTCTGCAGTCAAAGGGCCGAGCTACTGTTCATTTTCCTGCCACAAACCAGCTATGTGACCTTGGGCAAGTCCCTTAAGGTCTCTAAGCCATGAATGCCTCAGCTCTTAAGAGATTTCAAGCCAGAGTATCTCTTAACTTGACAACTCTACCATTCCGTAACAGTCTGTTTTTGTTATTATTTTTCTTTTATTTTTTATTTATTTTTTTGATACGGAATTTCGCCCTTGTTACTCAGGCTGGAGTGCAATGGCGCGATCTCGGCTCATTGCAACTTCCGTCTCCCGGATTCAAGCGATTCTCCTGCCTCAGCCTCCCGAATAGCTGGGATTACAGGCGCCTGCCGCCACGCCTGGCTATTTGTTGTTGCTGTTGTTGCATTTTTAGTAAGAGACTGGGTTTCTCAGGCTGGTGGTCTTGAAGTCCCGACCTCAGATGATCCAGCTGCCTTCGCCTCCCAAAGGACTGGGATTACAGGCTTGAGCCACTCCGCCCGGCCCCTATTATCCTTTCTCTTAAAGCTTCCAAGCTTAACCAAGATAAGTGTGCCTGTCTGGGCTAGAATTAGGATGCCAGAGCTGAGAAATCCTGAGCGGTGCGCCCGAGGCTGAGAATCCAGCCAGAGGCGAGGGCAGTTAGCTGTTGGAGTATTTGAATCTTTGAAATTTAGAGCTGGCTCCACCCCGATGCTGCTCTTCAAGATGCTGCTATTTGTGTGAAGTCTGACTTGTACCAGACAGTTACTCTGCAACACCCTGTAGTTCTGAAGACCAGTGGCTTGGGAGGGCAGGCAATTTATTGTCGCATGTATAATCTCCAACCCACCCACATTCTTCACTGGATAATTGGCGTTTTCTCAGCCTTAATTAATTGCTATGTAAACACAGCTTCAAGCTCCTCTACTTTTCAACCAGATCATTAGCCCTTGACTCCTCTTACCAAACTTCTGGAACTGCCACCCCACCAGTGACTCCACAGGCACCAGGGCATGCAGCGGGGCAGGGACAGGAAGGCTCTCTTCTCCTCAAGCCTGCGGGGCTAACACTTGAGATTTTTCCTAGAGTTCACTTTTTAATGTGTGTCTCTGACTCTAGAATTTCAAGAGAAGTTTCCACTTAGTGACTCCTAACTGAAGATGGCTTCCCAGTGAGGTGATAGAAGAGGCTTGAGCTTCAGAGTGCGGTTGCAAGGTTCTTCTCTGACCTGAACAATGGCTGTAGCTGCGGACCAACAAATACAGACTCCTTCAATACAAGATCTCCAAATAGTGAAACTGGAAGATTCTCACTGGGAGAAGGAAATTTCCCTTCAAGGGAATGACTGGACCAGAGACATCCTGTCAGAGCTTTTCTCATTTCCATTACCAAGAAGCATCAGGACCCGGAGAGGCCCTCCTCCAGCTCCAGAAGCTCCATTGCCAGTGGCTAAGCCCAGAGAAGTGTACAAAAGAGCAGATCCTGGAGTCGCTGGTCCTAGAACAGTTCCTGACTGTCCTTCCCCGTGAGATCCAGATCTGGGTGAGACAGCAGCATCCTGAGAGTGGAGAGAGGGCCATGGCCCTGGTGGAAGACTTGCAGAAAGAACCTGGAAGGTAGGGGCTGCAGGTGAGATATAAAAACTTAGTTCTGAACAGTTAAAATAGAGGAATATGAGAGACAGCTGCCTTGGGTTGCCAGCAGTGTGGGTGATGTGTAGTTCTTCACTCTTTGTATTAAACTGGAGTTTGCTTATTTCATGGTTGTGGTAGCTGCAACTTTCCTTCCTGGTTCTGGCTGTTTTGTTTGTTTGGTTTTTTTTTTTGAGATTGAGATTCATTCTTGTTGCCCAGGCTACAGTTCAATGCCACAATCTGAGCTCACTACAATCTGTGCCTCCCAGGTTCAAGAGATTTTCCTGCCTCAGCCTCTGGAGTAGCTGGGATTACACGTATGCACCACAAGGCCTGGCTAATTTTGTATTTTTAGTAGAGACCATGTTGGTCAGGCTGGTCTTGAACTCCCAACCTCAAGTGATCCGCCTGCCTCATCGGCCTTCCAAAGTGCTGGGATCACAGGTGTGAGCCATCGCACCAGGCCAACCACTGTGGCCAGCCCAGGCTGATGCTTCAGAGAATGTACAACATTGGCTGCTCTCAGTGCCGGTCCCTGCCATTAAATAAGAAAATTGCGCCGGGCGCGGCAGTGGCTCACACCTGTAATCCCAGCACTTTGGGAGGCCGAGGCGGGTGGATCACGCGGTCAAGAGATCGAGACCATCCTGGTCAACATGGTGAAACCCTGTCTCTACTAAAAATATAAAAAATTAGCTGGGCATGGTGGCGCGTGCCTGTAATCCGAGCTATTCAGGAGGCTGAGGCAGGAGAATTGCCTGAACCCAGGAGGCGGAGGTTGCGGTGAGCCAAGATTGCGCCATTGCACTCCAGTCTGGGTAACAACAGCGAAACTCCATCTCCAAAAAAAAAAAAAAAGAAAATTGCTTAAAATGACTTGAGCTTCACTCTGATCAAGGAGGAGCATGTATGACAAGGATCTCTTTTTGGAGATCTCAATCTGCAGCAGCCAGCCAGAGGCAAACTGCTTCCAGTGGTCTTAGTCCACATTATTGAGCTTATTGTAAAACCCCTGAATTATCCTATGCTTTTTTTGCCTAAGGGATGGCAAGGCAGGTAGGAGCAGCCCCAGGAGAGCTGGGTGGCCAGGATGGAGTGGTCCATGGCCTTTTCTCCATAAAGTCTTCACATGTCCACCCTCTTGACTGCTGTTGCAGGCTTTTTATAAGATTGGCTTCTTCCTCTGCTTTTTTATGTTTTGGGATGTTTAAGTTTTTAGTCCCTGCAGAATTTTTGACCACTTCCAGTCCTTAAATAGGGACAGGATGTGCTCTCACAGGGGAAGGAGCCCGCAGGGTGGGTCCTGAGATCTCTAAATATCCATCTGAAGAAAGCACAGACAATATCTATGTGTTTGTTCCAGGCAATGGCGAAAAACTCACAGCCAGAACCAGAGGCATGGTTGAACCACAGCCCCAAAGTAGAACTCCAGCCTGTCCACGAGAGCGGTAAGAAGTAGCAGTGAGGGGAGGAAGGAAGTACACTTCTGTGGGGAGGACATAGAAGTACTCTCTGAAAGTAGGAAGTGGGGTAGAAGGTACAGCTCCTTTCTGCTTGGAAGACTGGCATGTTGAGCTGAGGCTGACCGCATGAATCTCTGAGATCCTAAATGGGTGCCTCCAAAGGGAAGAAGGACCTCTGTTGGCATGTTTTGTAAAACAACATAGGGGAGCCTGTGGCACCTTTCCTTATGTGAGTCAGAGATTACTGATACCAATAGGTTACAGTTGGAGACAGATTTTAGGTCTGGCTGGTGGGAAGGGCCCTAGTTAAGGTTCAGTAATCCTTAAAACAGCTAGGCGTCCCCAGACCAATTCAGATGACTCAGGTGTGTTATCAAAGCTGAAAAACAAGGCCAGGCGCAGTGGCTCACGCCTGTAATTCTAGTACTTTGGAGGCTGAGGTGGGTGGATCACTTGAGCCCAGAAGTTTGAGAGGAGCCTGGGCAACATGGTGAAACTCCATCTCTCCTAAAAATACACAAAAAATTAGCTCGGCATGGTGGCAGCCACCTGTAGTTGCAGCTACTCAGAAGGCTGAGATAGGAGGATCCGCCTGAGCCCAGGAGGTTGAGACTGTAGTAAGCTGAGACTGTAGTAACCACTACGCTCTAGCCTGGGTGACAGAGCAAGGCCTTGTTTCAAAAAAAGAAACCCCAAAACCTGAAAAACAATCAGAAAACCCTGATAGTCAGTACCTAGATGGATATGGAGGGGAAAACCTAAAACTTTCATCTTCGAAATGTTTCATTTTGGTTTTTCACCAACCTTCCTTTGGTAGGACAAAGCAGATAGTAAGGGGAGGAGGAAAGGCTGTTCTGTGTCTGGACCCAGTTGGGCTAGTCCCCAAGAGGAGCTGAGTGCCATGCACTCTAATGCCTCCTTTTTCTTCCCCCAGCCCTGCCTGATCCTCGGGCTCTTGGAATTCCGGCAGAGAAGAGCAGGGTGGCCAGTGGATAGTGAGCAGCTCCCAGGTGAGCTTGCCTTTTCTCTTATTCAGATCGCCTTTTTCTAATTTAGTTTAATTTTTTTTATACATTTTTTTTTTTCTTTTTCAGAGACGGGGTTTCACCATGTTCGTCAGGCTGGTCTCGAACTTCCAACCTTGTGATCCTCCTGCCTCGGCCTCCCAAAGTGCTGGAATTACAGGCATGAGCCACCATGCCTGGCCACCCCCCCTTTTTATTTTTTAAATAGAAATCTAATTCTTGAGGCACAGCTCAAGCTTCTCCTTTTGGGAAAACAATTAAGTCATTTGTTTTTACTTATTATGTTTCTTTTTTTCAAATATTTTGTGTGTGTATATATATTTTATTATACTTTAAGCTCTGAGATACATGTGCAGAACGTGTGGGTTTGTTACATAGGTATACAAGTGCCATGGTGGTTTGCTGCACCTGTCAACCTGTCATCTACATTAGATATTTCTCGTAATGCTATCCCTCCTTTAGCTCCACTCCTCTCAGGTCACCCTTTACTGCTTGAATGGGGCTTCTGCAACCAACTCTCTTGCCACCCAGAAATTTCAAAAGAATTTTACCCAGCAGGGAGGCCCAGAAACTTTACAATTTGGCCTCTTAAATTTCATCAGCCTGCAATGATGAAATTCTTACCCATACAAGGCCAGTGCCACGGCTGTGATAATGAGGATTGCATTAAAATTACTCTTTTCTTTGACCCTGAAATCATCAGATTCTGCTGATCTGCTTGTTTGCATTAAAGATACTGGTTACTTCATTCCATATTGGGGTCTTGCTCACATGGCATGCAGTATTGTGTAGTGGAGATAAAAAAACAAAACCAAAAGCTTCAGAGTCCAACAGCCCTGAGTTGAAATCCCAGACATACCCTGGACTGGCTGTGTGACTCTGGGTAAGTCTGAGAAGCTTCTGGCCTAGTGCATAGGTGTTCAATAAATGTCAGCTTGTTTCTTTTCTCGCTCCTCCTGCCCCTTTTATTGCATTTAGAGACAAAATCATCACTGTTTCATTTCTTCCAAGTCTGTTCTGTCACTTGCCCTGACTTGGGCATTAGAGAGTCATTTTGTTCCGAGGCCATGTGTTCTGAGAGGGGTGTTATGTTTCTTCAGGAGCTAGCGACACTTGGCGATTTGGCTGTGTATGTCTCCTGGGAGGCACGGAGGGAGCCAGATCCCGGACAGAAGAACCACCTAGAAATAACTTGGCAGAATTCTGAAAATGAGGTCATGCTGGGTAAGAATGCCTTTTTTTTTTCTCATAAAGTTAGCTATGGATTTTCTGTAGTATTCACTACTACAGACCTTTTTCAGGTTGAATTTGTTTTGTCTTTTTCCCTGTCCTTATTTTTTTAAACTTTTATTTCAATAGTTTTTGGGGAACAGGTGGTATTTGGTTGCATGGAAAAGTTCTTTAGTGGTGATTTTGGAGATTCTGGCACACCCATCACCCAAGGGTAGTCTTTTTTATCCCTCAAGACTCTATCCAATGTGTAGCCTTTTTTTTTTTTTTTGAGACTGAATCTCACTCTATTTCCCAGGCTTGAGTGCAGTGGTGTGATCTCGGCTCACTGCAACCTCTGCCTCCCAGGTTCAAGTGATTCTCCTGCCTTAGCCTCCTGAGTAGCTGGCATTACAGGCATGTGCCACCATGCCCAGCTAATTTTTCTATCTTTTTAGTAGAGACGGGATTTCACCATGTTGGCCAGGCTGGTCTTGAACTCCTGACCTCAAATAATCTGTCTGCCTTGGCCTCCCAAAGTGCTGGAATTACAGGCATTAGCCACTGCGCTTGGCCCAGTGTGTAGGCTTTTATCTCTCACGCCCCACTCCCGTGCTTTCTCCCTGGGCTGAATGTTTCAAATCTATTTCTACCTTAAATCTTGCTCAAAAGAAAGAAATCTAGTACCATAGTCAGTTTTACCAAAGATGAGTTTCTTGACCTAGAAAGGAAAGCTCATTTAAAGGAGATGGTCATTTTAGGTATGTGTCTGACTTTTTTTTTTTTGAGACGGAGTTTCGCTGCTGTTACCCAGGCCTGAGTGCAATGGCACGATCTCAGCTCACCGCAACCTCTGCCTCCTGGGTTCAGGCAATTCTCCTGCCTCAGCCTCCCGAGTAGCTGGGATTATAGGCGTGCGCCACCATGCCCAGCTAATTTTTTATATTTTTAGTAGAGACGGGGTTTCACCATGTTGACCAGGATGGTCTCGATCTCTTGATCTTGTGATCCACCCACCTCGGCCTCCCAAAGTGCTGGGATTACAGGCTCGAGCCACCGCGCCTGGCCCTGACTTTTTATATATATAATTGAGTTTTAGGTTTTGGGGTGCATGTGAAGAACATGCACGATTGTTGCATAGTTACATACATGGCAATGTGGTTTGCTGCCTTCCTCCCCATCACCTATATCTGGCATTTCTCCCCATGTTATCCCTCCCCAACTCCCCACCCCCCACTGTCCCTCCCTTAGTTCCCCCCCACAGATCTCAGTGTGTGAAGCTCCCCTCCCTGTGTCCATGTGTTCTCATTGTTCAACATCCGCCTATGAGTGAGAACATGCAGTGTTTGATTTTCTGTTCTTGTGTCAGTTTGCTGAAAATGATGGTTTCCAGGTTCATCCATGTCCCTACAAAGGACATTAACTCACTGTTTTTTATGGCTGCATAGCATTCCATGGTGTATATGTGCCACATTTCCAGTCTATCATCAATGGGCATTTGGGTTGGTTCCAAGTCTCTGCTATTGTAAACAGTGCTGCAGTGAACATTTGTGTGCATGTGTCCTTATAATAGAACGATTTATAATCCTGTGGATATACCCAGTAATGGGATTGTTGGGTCAAACGGAATTTCTATTTCTAGGTCCTTGAGGAATCGCCACACTGTCTTCCACAATGGTTGAACTAATTGACACCCCCACCAGCAGTGTAAAAGTGTTCCTATTTCTCCACATCCTCTCCAGCATCTGTTGTCTCCAGATTTTTTAATGATTGCCATTCTATAACTGGCGTGAGATGGTATCTCAATGTAGTTTTGATTTGCATTTCTCAAATGACCATTGATGATGAGCATTGTTTCATATGTTTGTTGGCTTCATGTATGTCTTCTTTTGTAAAGTGTCTGTTCACATCCTTCACCCACTTTTGAATGGGCTTGTTTTTTTCTTGTAAATCTGTTTTAGTTCTTTGTAGATTAGCCCTTTGTCAGATGGGTAGACTGCAAAATTTTTTTCCCATTCTGTTGGTTGCCTATTCACTTTAATGGTTGTTTCTTTTGCTGTGCAGAAGCTCTGGAGTTTAATTAGATCCCATTTGTCTATTTTGACTTTTGTTGCCAATGCTTTTGGTGTTTTAGTCATGAAGTCCTTGCCTATGCCTATGTCCTGAATGGTTTTGCCTAGATTTTCTTCTAGAGTTTTTATAGTGTTAGGTCTTATGTTTAAGTCTTTAATCCATCTGGAGTTACTTTTAGTGTAAGGTGTCAGGAAAGGGTCCACTTTCTGCTTTCTGCACATGGCTAGCCAGTTTTCCCAACACCATTTATTAAACAGGGAATCCTTTCCCCATTGCTTGTTTTTGTGAAGTTTGTCAAAGATCAGATGGTTGTAGATGTGTGGCGTTGCCTATGAGGCCTCTGTTGTGTTCCATTGGCCTATATCTCTTTTTTTGGGACCAGTACCATGCTGTTTTGATTACTGTAGCCTTGTAGTGTAGTTTGAAGTCAGGTGGCATAATGCCTCCAGCTTTGTTCTTTTTGCTTAGAATTGACTTATGTGAGGTCTCTTTTGATTCTATATGAAGTTTAAGGTGGTTTTTTCCAGCTCTGTGAGAAGGTCATTGGTAGCTTGATGGGGATAGCATTGAATCTATAAATTACTTTGGGCAGTATGGCCATTTTCTCAATTTGATTCTTCCTAACCATGAGCATGGACTGTTTCTCCATCTGTTTGTGTCCTCTCTTATTTCGTTGAGCAGTGGTTTGTAGTTCTCCTTGAAGAGGTCCTTTAACATTCTTGGTTAGTTGTATTCCTAGGTATTTGATTTTCTTTGTAGCAATTGTGAATGGCAGTTTGTTCTTGATTTGCCTCTCTTTAGTCTTTTATTGGCATATAGGAATGCTTGTGATTTTTGCACATTGATTTTGTATCTTGAGACTCTGCTGAAGTTCCTTATCAGTTTCAGGAGATTTTGGACTGAGATGATGGGGTCTTCTAAATATACAATCATGTCTGCAAATAGAGACAATTTGACTTCCTCATTTCCTATTTGAATACCCTTTATTTCTTTTTCTTGCCTGATTGCTCTGGCTAGAACTTCCGATACTATATTGAATAGGAGTGGTGAGAGAGGGCATCCTTGTCTAGTGCCAGTTTTCAAAGGGAGTGCTTCCAGTTTTTGCCCATTCAGTGTGATATTAGCTGTGGATTTGTCGTAAATAGCTTTTATTATTTTGAGATATGTTCCATCAGTACCTAGTTTATTGAGAGTTTTTAGCATAAAGCACTGTTGAATTTTGTTAAAGGCCTTCTCTGCATCTGTTGAGATAATCATGTGGTTTTTATCTTTGGTTTTGTTTATGTGGTGAATTATGTTTATGGACTTGCGTATGTTGAACCAGCCTTGCATCCCCGGGATGAATCCTACTTGATCATGGTGGATAAGTTTTTTGATGTGCTGTTGCAATGGTTTGCCAGTATTTTATTGAAGATTTTTGCATCTATGTTCATCATGGATATTGGCCTGAAGTTTTCCTTTCTTGTCGAGTCTCTGCGGGTTTTGGTATTAGGATGATGTTGGTCTCATAAAATGATTTGGGAAGGATTCCTTCTTTTTGGATTGTTTGGAATAGTTTCAGAAGAAGTAGTACCAGCTCCTCTGCGTATGTTTGGTAGAATTTGACTGTGAACCCATTTGGACCTGGGCTTTTTTTGGTTGGTAGGCTATTACTGCTTCAACTTCAACCCTTGTTATTGGCCTATTCAGGGTTTCGACTTCTTCCTGGTTTAGGCTTGGGAGGATGTAAGTGTCCAGGAATTTATCCATTTCTTCCAGGTTTACTGGTTTATGTGCATAGAGTTGTTTGTAGTAATCTCTGATGGTAGATTTAATTTCTGTGGAATCTGTGGTGATATCCCCTTTATTGTTTTTTATTGCATCTATTTGATTATTCTCTTTATTAATCTGGCTAGTGGTCTATTTTGTTAATCTTTTCAAAAAACCAGCTCCTGGATTTATTGATTTTTTTTTTGAAGGGTTTTTTGTGTCTATATCTCCTTCAGCTTTACTCTAATGTTAGTTATTTCTTGTTTTCTGCTAGGTTTTGAGTATTTTTGATGTTGTTCCTCTAGATATTTCAATTTTGACGATAGGGTGTCGATTTTAGATCTTTCCTTGCTTCTCATGTGGGCATTTATTGCTATGTATTTTCCTCTAGACACTGCTTTAAATGTGTCCCAGAGATTCTGGTATGTTGTGTCTTCATTCTCGTTGGTTTTGAAGAACATCTTTATTTCTGCCTTCATTTTATTGTTTATCCAGTTAACATTCAAGAGCCAGTTGTTCAGTTTCCACGAAGCTGTGCGGTTCTGAGTTAGTTTCTGAATTTTGACTTCTAACTTCATTGCATTTTGGTCTGAGAGACTGTTATGATTTCCATTCTTTTGCATTTGCTGAGGAGTGATTTACTTCCAATTATGTGGTCAATTTTAGAGTTGGTGTGGTGCTGAGAAGAATGTATATTCTATGGATTTGGGGTGGAGGGTTCTGTAAATGTCTATTAGGTTTGCTTGGTCCAGGTCTGAATTCCTATCTCGTTGATCTGTCTAATATTGACAGTAAAGTGTTAAAGTCTCCACTCTTACTGTGTAGGAGTCTGAGTCTCTTTGTAAGTCATTAAGAACTTGCCTTATGTATCTGGGTGTTCCTGTATTGGGTGTGTATATATTTAGGATCGTTAGCTCTTCTTGTTGCATTGATCCTTTTACCGTTATGTAATGTCCTTCTTTGTCTCTTTTGATTTTTGTTGGTTTAAAGTCTCTTTTATCAGAGACTGGGATTGCAACTCCTGCTTTTTTTTGCTCTCCATTTTCTTGGTAAATCTAACTCCATCCCTTTATTTTGAGCCTATGTGTATCCTTGCATGTGAGATGGGTTTCCTGGATACAGCACCCCAATAGGTTTTGACTTTTTATCCAATTTGCTGGTCTATGTCTTTTGATTGGGGCATTTAGCCCATT